GATCTGAAGGTCCGTTTAAAATTCTAGCCAAGGTTAACGACAACGCTTACAAAGTCGACCTTCCAGGAACACCTGCAGCAGCGGCTACGTTCAATGTCGCTGATCTTCAACCATACTACGATCCGGATGACCCTATTCCAAGTTTGAGGACAAACTTTCTTGAAGCTGGGGAGGATGATAGGCAGATCCCTGATGAACCGTTTGACGAACCAGACCCGCTTCAAGAACCGAGCCAAGTGGGTCATGGGTGGGTTAATTTGATTCAATCAAATCCCATTACTTGATTGCAGTTTATTTTATTTACTTTTGTTTTTTTTCCCCCACGTGAGCTCTATTTCAGTAATTTTTTTCATGTTATTTTATTTCTTCCTTTTTTTATTATTTATTTGACTCTTTCAAGGCAGTTATTTTTATTTATTTATTTATTTTCCCCAAAAGTGTAGCTACGTGGGTGGTTGTATCCCTTTCTCTCGTATGTATTGCTAGATGAAGGAATGAGAAAGGCAGTTCTGATTTTCTACAAAATTTATCTCTTGTCCTTAGAGATTATTTCCATTGCTATTCTAGTCTTTGGCAAGATTAGGAGGTGATCTTGGAAGCTGATTCGGGATTTCGTGGTGTGACTGTATCGAGAATTCCGAGTCGGAACAGCCCGGCGAAGCCTTTGGGTGGTGGTTTTTCTGTATCTCTAAAGGACGCTGCTATTACATTTTGATTTTTCGGGTTATTTTGGAACCAGTCGAAAAGCAACTGGCCATCAAAATGTATGTTTATCATGTATTTGATTATGTTTATATACTACAGTTAGTTACACAGATTTAAAAATATAGCTTTAATAAGTGTATTTAATCAAAATTACTTGTAATCTTATGAATTTTAAGTAATATGCACCAAGAAACAATACTTCATGCATAAAAAATAGTTTTTAAGAGTTATTGTCAAATGCTTTATAATATAGTATAGGTTTGAGCAACTACTCAAAAAATAAGATAATTTATAAGGAAAAGTTCAAAAAAACCCAATAAACTTTTCTATTTTAAATGGTTTAGATTTTTGAATGAAAAAAAAAACCATTAAATTTTCTAAGATGGCGACCGGAGATGGCGACCGGAGATGGCGATCGTGAGGGGTGGGAGGCGATGTGAAGGAAACGCTGTGTAGAGAGGGCAATTTTGGAAAACATTAGATCTGAATGGTTGAGTGAAGGGTTGGACACAAAATGGTTAAGAGGGATATGTAACCATTAAGAGGTTTCATTTTTTGTGCCAAACACTCCAAGCCTCTGACCGATTAAGAGGCTCCCTCTTAATGTCACCATTAAGAGGGAAACAAACAGCCCCTAAGTTATTGAACTATTTTTCTGAATTGAACTTTCTCTTTTTAAATGAAAAATCTATTAAATTTTTTCATTTTGATTGATTAAGTCCTTGAACATTTTTTAATAAATAAACTATCGCACTTTTAAAAATCGGTTGGTTGTATCATTTTAATCCAAAAAAGTTACATTAATCGACTAGTAAAAGTTCGATAGTTTATTTACGTTGTTAAAGAAAATTCAACATTCTAATAATTTAAAATGTGAAAGTTTAATATTTTTTCATTCAAAAAAATAGTTGACATATTTTATCATATGAGAAAGTTTAATCATCTATACTACCTTATAAACCAGATTTATCAAAAGTCTTAAAAACAACTTTTAATGCACAAAGTACTATACACTTATGCACAAAGTCTTAAAAGTCATAATGCATTAAATACTACTATGTTATGCATTCAGGCTTAAAATCTCTTAATCTAGAATTAAAATAATATATAGTATAAGTTACCAATGCACATTATTACTTTTTGTTTTTCATGTTTCCAAGATACTTTTGACATCTTTCACTCATGCATTCACCCTCTCATACCTCTATGGCTTCTCCCCATCCCTTAATATGAGATTCAAACTGACATTCACCACGAGTTATTAAAAGTTCTTCCATTCATCTCTCATTAAATTGCTCTAGAACTCTCGATCCCGCTCTCAATCTCTTGATTCTTTGCTCTTAGTGCAAATCGAACACATTTGTGGAATCGTTTAAATATGTTGGATTTTAAATTGTCATACAATTTTTTTTATCGATAGACTGTAATTAGAATCATAACTCTTATTTATTCAAATTGTATTAATATGTAAAGACCAAGTATAACTTATATTATCGTTAAATCTTTTCTAATAAAAACAATAAAACTTTAAAATCATTAAAATTCACGGTTCTCACTGCATTATACGGATATACATCTAGTTTTTTCATTAAAAAAATACTATTGAAAATGAGAGTATTAACCAAAACCAACTAAGCACCGCAAGCTTAGCTAGAGAAATGGAGGCCAAAACCCCTTGAGCCAAAACCCTAAAAAGATTCAGAGAGATGGGAGGGAAAGGAAAGAAGAGAAGAGAGAAGAATTACAAAGAAGCACATGGAGTCGGAAAGAATCGATTACCTCCACCGCCGGTTCGTTCATCTCTCGATGTCATTCCCTCTAAGCTTCGCAAACTCATGTCTTATACCTCAGGTACTGATATATAACCAGATTTAGTTTTTGACTTTGTTCTATGTTTGGATGCATTGATAGGTTATATGCGTCTAATTTTGTATTCATCTGAACTTTTGTGGTTTTAGTTGCTTGTTAGGGTTCTAAAATTTGGTTATATGAATGATTATTATATCTTTACAATTGCGATGTTAGGATCTGGAAAGTTACAAGTGGATGGTGAAGAGAATAAGAGAGGCGGCGGTGGCCGTGGTGGCTCAGGTGGTGGGAATTTAATTGAAAATGTAAGTGATGTTCGTGTTGGTAGCTGTTTTTGTTCATCGATTTCTACAATTGCATAACAGAACCTCAAAAGCGTGGCTTGATTCAAAATTGAATGTTGTGATTTCACGATTAGGGATATGTGTTTGATTTCTGAAGTCAATAGAGTCGTTTTTTGGGATCGAAATTGATATGTATTGATTTGGATTTGATGGAAATGAGGACACATTCGAATCATATTTGAAAAATTAGGAATATGCTTGATTTCTAAAGTGAACAGAGTCATTTTTGAAATCCAAAATTGATTATACCTATAGGTTCGGTATTACAGGTCAATCCTAGTCCACTAGTACCAATAGGCAGCTTATGGGTCAATTTGGACTTGATGGAAACTGAAGTGTTGTTTACCAAATGCTTACCAGGTGTCACTTACCTTATCAGGTGAGTATAGATTGAGAAGGTTTTTGGTTGAAGAGTTATTTCATTGATGGGATGAGTGTGTTCTTTAATTAGGAGGGACGGGTTTGGAAAAAAACTTGGCTTTCTGCATAAAGTTTCACCATAGAAGTTTTCTGAATAAACCACTTTCTATATTACTAAGGCACTATCAAACAGTCATGTATAATTGACCGAATAAGCTGTGAGTTCTATTAAGTTCATTAAGCTGCTAACAAATAGGCCCTTACATGGTAAGTGATTACCGGGTAAAAGACGCATACCAACAATCCATTTTAATGGCCAAGAATGTTACCTGATAAGTGAAGAAAAGGTGTTGACTATTTCCGCTAAGCGCTTACCCATATGGTAAACGATCCCTAAGGCAATCATAGGATTAAAGTCAAGAGTTCACCTTAAGTAACATTTTCAAGTCCACTTTTGAGGACTATATAAAATTGAGGACGCCATTATAGTTTTAGCCACCATGGAATCATCTCAATACACTTTAAATCAACGAGATCTGGTATGAGTTGGCTCTGGAATGAACTCTGTGATAATTGGTTCTGATATGTCTCAAACCTGATGTTACAACTTGCCGTAAGAACTCCTCTTGGAATCTTCATACCTTCACTTTTGGTTGAAGAGATCATTGCCTGAAGATCCAATTGATGGCAGTACCGCCGTTGACAAATTCACATGTGATTTTACATTAACGTCCAAAAAAAGGTGTGTCGGTATTACGGGGAGGAACCCGTTTGGGTTGCCCGCTGCCTAAAGAAGAAAGATGTGGTCGAACCATGAGGAGGACCCCTTTCGTTAAAATTCAGGAATTGATCAGGTGCATCTCGGTGCATCCAGGGGTGGAGCCGGGAACTATTCTAGGAGAAGTTCGAATCCATTCCGTTAGGATTTATGCCATCCAAAGGCTCTGGATAGACGAACTAGAGGCTCTTGACAGTTGTAGATTTGTTTTCAGACTTGCTCCAAACAAAGATTTAGAAGGATTTTAATTTTCAAGATCAATGGACAATCACAACTTCAATATGACCAAAAAGTCAGAAACAGCTTCTCTACCTCTTGAGATAGAGGAAAGGTCTGTGTACATATCTATCTGCTATCTTTAGGGCCCCACGGGATTAGCCGAGTTGTGCCAAAGCCAGACACCCACGGTTACCAAAAAGAGTCATCTAGTTGGACCTTGAATTTGGTAACTTGAGGTTACATTATTTTACTTAAAAGTGAATGTATCGGATACTGAAGCGTGCTTTGCTTATTTTGTTTGCAGAAACTTTCTACAAAGGATAAATCTGATTCTGTAGCTTCTGGGTCCAAGACGGAAGATGCCAATGACCAATATATGGATACGGAAAAGAAAAAGAAGAAAAGGAAAAGGAAGCAGGTAGATGACCTTCGGTTTGAGGGTGAATTAGGTCCAGTTGGTTCAAAAAGGAAGGAACGCAAGAAAAAGTACGGTTTCATTATTTTATAATACGATTTTCTTCTATTCTACATGCTCCTTTTTTGCGGGTCTTAGTATTTATTTCTCAAATATCTCGATCATTAAAGCTCTAGCTATTTGATTACTCCCTCTATCCCAAAATGAATGTTCACAATGAAAAAGTCACAGTTTTAGAAACGTGTAGTTATTACACTTTCTAATCAACTAAATGACAATTTTACCCTTAATAATAGAGAATTTTAAATATCTCCAACTCATAGTCAAGGGTAGCACCGGAAAGTAGACACTTAAGGGCCATCTACCAACTTCTTACCGGGTAAGCGCTTGCTGTTAAAGAGTCAATACTCCCACTTACCTTATGAGGCAACATTTATTGCCACCAAATTGGATTGATGGTAAGCATTTATAACCCGGTAAGCTCTTACTAGGTAAGAGTCATCACCCTCCCTTACCGGTTAAGACACTCGACCATTGCCTTCCCTTCTACCGGGTAAGATTCTCCATCATTGTTATGTTCATCTAGTAAGGTAATAGAACCGGCAAGCGCTTACCAAGGCAAGTGTTTAGCAAACGGCCCCTTACTTTTGAAGTGGACACTTATCTGCGGACAAATTAAAAATAGAATCGTGAACACTTATTTTCGCACTTGTTAGACTCCATACTATGGTGGCATCTATATAGTCAGGATGTTCTCCTTTGTTGAAATGGATTTTTTAGAAAACCAAACGAACCCAATATATTCGACACCTTAGATACAGGTACGCAGATCTTGCCTCTACCCTTTGCAAAAGAGGTTGCTTTGTGATTCAAACCCGACCTTCTTGTCAAAAAGGAATAGCCTTGTTGCTTCAAGATTCTTTCGTATAAATTATGTCTTCATTAACACTCTGAGTAATCCGTGCAGACTTCTGGAAGAAAGGAAAAAGAAACATAAGAAGGTGAAAGTAGAAGACGACGGTTTGAACTTTCCTGGTCGTGAAGAGATTAAATTTGGAGAAGTTGTCCAAGCTCCACCAAAATTGGTCAATATTCCCAAGGTTAGCTTTTCTATTCTTTGATTCAGTTTATCTGTTCACAAGGACCAGACTGCTCAGTCTAGACCAGACCATGACGTCATTATGCCGGACCAGGCCAAACCGCCAGTCCTTGATCGGTCCAAATTTTTTTAGACGATCGATCCCAGACCGGCCTTTTTAGGTCGGATAAAGCTCGGATTGGATAAAAGATTTGGACCGAACCGGACAACATTCAGACTCACTCACTCTTTTTTTTAAATCTGAAATACCTTAAAGAATTAAGGGGTGTTTGAGATTGCTTATTTGAAACAACTATGATTTTCTACAAAAGCAATTATCAACTTATTATAAGTCAGGAGGGTTTAACTTCTTCAAAAACTTCTTATTACCGGTTTGACACCGGTATAAGTTGTTTATCCAAAAACTCAAAAGTGCTTATTACCGGTACCACACCGGAATAAGTAAATAAGTCGTTTTTATAAGCAATCCCAAGCACCCCCTTAATAAATGCAAGAGTAAGTTACGATTTTCGTCCCTGTGGTTTGTTACTAATTTCAATTTTCATCCCTTTGGTTTGCACTTTATTGCTATTTTCATTCCTGGATTAATTCCTACCTTTAAGTACAAGGAAGCGAAGGGACCAAAAGAGTGAAGAATTGTAAACTACAAGGACCAGACCAACAATAAATTGTAAATGATAAGGATGAAAATAGCAATAAATTACAAACCACACGGACGAAAACTGCAATTTCTAAACCTCAAGGACAAAAAATGAATTTTTAAACAAACCACAGGGATGAAAATCGTAATTTACTCTTAACGTTAATACAATCAGCATAAATACATATCTTATAAAATTAAAACATAATTTAACAACCAATACTGAATATTTATAAATTTTATAGCAATTTCATATTTTGTAATTTTTTTTGGGTGCAAATTGCATTAAAAATTAACGTACTCTAACTTGATTCATATTTTGTATAACATATTTTCAAAACTTTCATTTTGGTATCTAAGGTGTAAAGTTTTGAACATTCAAGTACTGGTTCCCAGTTAAACATGTTGAAGCATTAACTGGTTAGATTAAGATATCCATGTCAGTAAATAATATTGAGTTGGATATCACATCAATCACCACATCAGCATGATAACCAGTTAAAGTACCAAATGAAAGTTTTGAAAGTACGTTATTCGAAATAAGAATCAATTTAAAGTACGTTGTTTTTTCATACAATTTGCCTTTTTTTTTTTCTTCATATGCTTTCATTTTTATAAATCTATAAGAGAAAATTCAAGTATATTTCCATGTGTTTTTTATTAATTTATTTTTAGCATGTTTCTATAATTTTATTAATAATTTAGTAAATTATTATAAAAATTAAATATCGTACCAACCGGACCAGATCGTCGTTTGTTCATCCATTTCGTTCCGCTTTGCATTTCTTTCGTGATCCAAATTGAAATTCTTCTTCTATGGTTTGTAGCGATTCGGGTCTTCAGTAAACGCGTCTCAGGAGAGGATACGATTGAGAGCCATTGAGGCCTATAGGGATCAAAAGAAATGGGCGTCGAGACCCGGACTCCACCTTCCGACAACAGACATAACACCGCCATCGTTATAGTGTTTCCCATGACGGTATTTGCCGTATCCCTAATAGTTGATGGCAAGCGCAGCTTGTACTAGACGAAAACGTTACCATGAGATAGAAAATAGATCATTTTTCCATGTTATCTTCCAAGTAAGAATATACCCTAAACCTACATTTTTGTGTATTTGTTGATGAGAATTATGAAATATTCCCAGTTACTTTCCTTGGTTTTATTTCAAATGCTACTTCATTTGATCCTAAAATTAACCTTTGAAAACGGTGTCTGATTGGTTTGAGCTTGACTCTAAAGGTAAAAAGTACAATGAGGTCTCAGGTTTAAATCCAAGGAGGAATAAAAATCCCCTTATGGTCATGGAGGTTCAAATGCGGCAACTCCGGGCTATCTGCAAAACAGGTGGTCGTCCTGGAATTAGTTGGCTCGTATAGCGGATTGGATATTTAATAAAAAAAAATTAACCTTTGAATTGGAATGAAGAATAAAATATGAGAAGAAAAAGATACAAATTGGCATGCAATTGTATTGAAGTTATACCGGTCCTCGCAGCTTTAACCTAGCGAGTATGTTATACGACCACATCGTATTTACTTGTTCGCTTCGTGTGTTTGGTATGCAAATGGAACTATACCGTTTTGGACCGATGATAATGAGGTAGGTGGGTGATAGAATTTAGGTACTGGATTGAGACTTGCCTCATTGGAGAACTCGGTGTACTTGCCTCGATCGGGCTCGGTATTTCCCGCAAAACCGGAGACTAGAGATGGGGACAGAGCCGAGGCCGGATAACGTGATCTCCAACCCGTCGCGTCCACGTATATTAAATGTATTATTTATAGAGAATTAGATTTAGTATATTTTAGATTTAAAAAGAGTATTTTGACATTTTTCTTATATACATTTCGTACTTGTCTTACTTTTTTTTAGATAAAAAACATGGAGAGCCTAAAACATTTGATCAAACAATTACGTATGATGTTGTAATTTTGTTCACTTGAATATTTGATACTTCATAAAAGCAAAATTTTGGAAATGAGTGAGATTTAAACATGGATCATTATTGATCGAGTGTGTTGGTTAACGCATGATTTAAAATATCTCAGATAAATGAGAAAAAAAAAATCTCTGATTCCCGTTGGGGACGGGAACGGCGATGTGGTCATAATTCCCATCAGGTATGGGAGGAAGATTAGGATGGGGATGAGATTAGGGTCCCTGCCTCATTCCCATGCCTAAATAGAATTGTAGAAGGTTTTAGGGTTTTAATATAACTTGGGTAATTTGGTAATCTACCAATCTAGTCTCGCTTTTTCTGTTTTTTTGTTTTGCTTATCCGATGGATCGAAAAAAGGCATTTGTCTCACTCAAGTTCAGTATCATGTCTTGTCCAAACCTAGGACAAGAAGTTTTTGTACTGTCATATCGTGTGTATCAAACATCTTGAATCTGAGTCCGTGGATGGATGTTACAACCATTATCAACAATTATAGGGTTCTATGGTCGGTATGTGATAATCTCGTAGTTCTTTTTGCGGGTGGATTGTGGGGTCGGTCCATGGATCGTGTAAAGCAATCAAGATCGATAAGCCAATGAGTCCATTGTGTAATTAGAAATACATTGTGGGTGCTATGTACAATGATATAAGAAACCATAGCCAACTCAACTCAACTAGTAAATAAAGGTCGGGTTCCTGGGGCTCATCCCCATAGGTCGTAAGTTGAATTTTCGGAGAGCGATTGAGGATTTCTCTAGCTGTTATTTTTCAAATCTTGAGGGCTAAGGGGCTGTTTACTTTCAACTTAATTAGGCTTATTGGTTTATTTGGTTTATTCGCACAACTCATTTGGGTTGTTTACTTACGGCTTAATCGCACAGAACATAGCTTAATCGTACAGATAGAAATGGTGTGTTGTCCCCATTCAACCACAAAAATGACACCCTTACCCCTTATTTAAAGCACCGCCTCCTTCCCATATGAGACACCCATCTTCGGCCTCTTTACGAACTTTTGTTTTGATGTTCAAATAATTAATATTGGGGGGTAAATCGGTCATTTATGTTATTTAGTCTGTTGGTTCAGATAAAAAAGTAAACAACAACACTCATTTATCTAGACAAACAAATTTATCCGGACATGACTTAATACAAAAATTTGGTAAACAGTCCCTAACTCAGCTAACTAGTTAATAAATGTTGGGCTTTGGGGTTCATCCCCAGAGGTCGTAACTTGAGTAGAGATGAAAATCTTACTTGTTCCGGTGGGTGGGTAATGGAGCGGAGACAAGATTTATTTTCATTCCTAAAGCGGGGTCGGGGATGACATTACGCCCCTCTAATCCGACCCCGATAAATTTTCTTTGTTTTCTTTGATATATGTATATAATATGTATATAAATAAATATATATGTATCCATATATGTATACATTCATCATTAGACTTGGGATCATGTGAGATCAAGGGTTTTTCGTGAGACTCGTAAGACCAATTCTCAACCCTTGGATTAGATCTACAATCTGAACATTTATAATCACAAAATTGCCACGAGACTTCTCAATAATCACAAAATTGCCATCATGTAACTTTAAAACAATTAGATCATTAGCTTATAAAATTGATCAATGAACATAAATTGGTCTTACGGGTCTCACGAAAAACCCTTGGTCTCACGTGAACCCAACCCTTTATCATTAAAGGATAAATATATTTGATTTTTTTTAATATTGGTAATTAATGTAGTGACGATTCATTATAATTATAATTTTAAAATACATTGTCTGTTACTAAATCGGGTACCCAATGGTTCCCCAACCCACAGGGGATTATTTCCCCCCGAACCTCTCAAGGATTAGTCGGGCGTGGGCGGGGGCGGGGATTAAACGAGGTCAGGGACAGGGGATGCATTGCCCCCTCTAAACCCGCCCTGTTTCCATCCCTAAACTTGACTCTTCTGAAGGAGACTACCGAGGAGTTTTCTGGTTGTTATTTTCAGGCCTACGGGATTAATCAAGGTACACTCGAGCGGATCTCGTACTTATTAAAAGAAACAAACGAACAAGGATTGCATAATCGAACGGAACCGAAAGCATTCTAAACAAACTTCACACCGAATGCAAAGTTATGTACACATACGAAGTTGTCGTCTATTTATTATAATTAACACAAATTTACCATTACAAGCATACGATACGTTTGCTCGTAGATGTACACGATAGTTTTAAGTTGAAGGGTAGATATTACCCGCGTTTGTTGAAAACACGAACATGTAGTCCACCATCGATATGGAGATTAAGCATCGTTTTGTAGTTTGCAGTTTTGTTTTCGTCGCTCAGCTTGAAAACGAAACAACCTAACAAGACGGAAGCGAAGATCTTCATTTGCCTATACGCGAATTCCCGACCCAAACAAATTCTTTGCCCGGCCTATGTTTTATATCAAAAAAAACGAAAATGAAATCGTGTCAAAACCATACTCCAAACAATAAAGTATAACTAGACTACCTGTTTTGCTTTTGCGGGTAATCCGGAATCACCACATTTGAACCTCCGTGACCACAGGGGGATTTTTATTCCTCCTTGAATATGAACCTAGGACCTCCAGACACTTTTGACCTTTGGAGCTGAAGGTCAAACCAATCAGGCACAACCCTTGTGGGGTTTTTTTTTTCTCTCCAACAGATATGGTAAAACGAAGAAATGAAGAGAGAAAATGTAGAAATCTCTAAAACTTAATATTGAGGATATAGGTATATTACGTTTTTTTTATTAACCTGGATATCCAACCGCTATGCGAGCCACCTAATCCCAGGGTGACTATGTTTAAAAAGTGTAACGGGATGATGATGTTATAAAATAATATAAATTAATATTGGAATTGATAAAATATAGTAACTGTTTGGAGTTGGATAATTTTTTTGTAGAAATTTTAATAAAATGATCGCATAGCTGTTGAAGATCTTTACAAAACCAGATTTGAAAAATTACAGCATAGTCTCTTTACCCTTACCCTTCAGGATAGAGGTAAGGTCTACGTATATCTTAGACACTGTTTAATAGTTGTTGAATAGCTTGGTGCAGAAAGATTAAATGATCAGAATGATTAAGAGTCTCCCATGATATAGTGCAAAACGAAATGTAACTGTTCAGTAATTGTTTACAATGAAATTAGGGTGCTGAATGGTTAATGGAGGTCCATGATACAAAATCATTCAAAGGGTTTTAGAACCATTAGGAGACAGATTTTTTGTTGTCAAACAAGATTCACCTCTTAGCGATTCAAATATTGCATCTTAATGAAACTATCAAGAGGTAAACAAACAACCCCTTATCCTCCCTACACCCTACCTCCTACCATTCCGTTTTTTTAGATACTTATGTAATTTTTATTTAGTGTAAATGTGACCACTTTGATTTCATAAAGCATCAACCCTTGAGAGATTACCAAAGCGCCTTCGGCCTAGCGGTATCGTAGCCCTTGGTTTCCTAGGAGGTCAAGGGTTCAAACTTCACCAAAGGTGAGGAGGGTGTGTGAGTTTATTTGTTGCATTTTCCGTATATAAATATTATATACTTCAAAAAAAAAAAAAAAAACCCTTGAGAGCTTAATGATTAAGACAAAAAGGAAATGGAGGATATGGTATATAGTGTGCTACTAACCTGAAAAGTTGTAAATTTGAAGGGGCTTTCCGGCCGAAAACAACCATTTTCATCGATCCATCGTTCGGGTTTAAAGTCTTCGGCATCATCACCCCATATGAACTTCATCCTTCCCATCGCGTAAGGCTGATACGACATCATATCACCTCCCTTTACATCATAACCATCCGGTAGAACGTCATCCGCACAACATATCTTTGCGTCCTACATAATTTAACATACAATCACTCATCGGGGACCTGTGTCCTTAAGGGTATGGTTGCTTGTGAAACTTATTGTAACGTTTTATATAGGACACACAATTTTTTGGTGCTGTAAACTTGATATCTATAATATAGTCTATGAGAACATTTAGACATATTTGACATTCTATATGTTGGAGTCTCATATGGGCTAGACTTTGACCGTTTTTTCTCTATGTATATTGGAACTTTCCTTTTCTCCTTAAGGGCTCTTTTGGAGAGTAAATTTGAGGGTTTCACATATTCTCATATGGTATCAAAGTCAAAGTCTACCACTCCAGAAAGTCGAAAATCTAAGGCAATCTATACTAGTTAGCTCCCGACCCATCTAGCTCCGTTCTCAATAGTCAGGGACAATTTGTGAGCGTCTAGCCTTCGTTAGTGGGGGTGTGTTCGAGTCCCACATCAGCCAGACTTGGACCATTTCTTCTTCTTCTTCTCTCTCTCTCTCTCTCTCTCTCTCTCTCTTTTTTTATATATATATATATATATATATATATGTGTGTGTGTGTGTGTGTGTGTATGTTAGAACCTCCCTTCTTTCTTTAAGAGCTCTTTTGGAAAGTAGATATGGGGGTTTCACATATTCTTAAATGGTATCAAAGTCAAAGTCTACCACTCTTAAGACTTGACATTTTAGGACAATCTAGACTCATCTAGCCCCCCCCCCCCCCAAATCTAACTTTCCTCCTCTTGACTGTTCTGTACAATCTGTCCTCATCTAGCCTCCATTGGTGGGGGCGTGTTGGAGTCCCACATTGGCTAGACTTTGAGATTTCTCTATATGCGTTAGAAAATGTCTCCTTGAGGGATCTTTTGAAAGAGTAACTACGAGGGTTCCACAAATTCACTACAACAAAATTTGTTTTATTGGACACTTAAAAATACCTCAGGGTCCTAATAAAAATGCTTTATAGGACCAAGCCAAAAAGCGTATTATCTAAAAGTGATAGCATAAGTTTTTAATTTAAAATAAAGTGTCATATTAACTATTTTATACATAGCATTTTTAGGCCTTTTAACAAGTTTTTAAAATAAAATGTTGTATTAGCTAATTTATACATCATTATTTAAAAAAAAATGTCCTATAAACACAAGTGTCCTATAAAAAGATGGTTACAGGACACTTCTCAAAAACATATATAAAATAGCTAATACAACACTTTATTTCAAAAACATCCTAAAAACGCCTTTTGTTAAAACGCCTTAAAGCGTCCCATATATAAAAACCTATCGTAACGCTTTTAGATAAGACGTTTTACAGTTTAGTCCTATAAACTTAAGTTCTACAAAGCATTCTATTAGGATGCTTAGACATTCTAGGTATCGTATAAATCCAATATATCTTATGGTGGTGATCTTCGCACTATAAAGCCGGTTTTTTGTATCGCCCCCGGTACCAACTATGCTACGCCGTGCTTAAAATACGAGAAAATTACATACCACGGGAACCGCGGGAAAGAGTCGGAGAGTTTCGGTCAGAGCTGCATGAAGATAATGCATCTTTTCTAGGGCTTCTTCAGTCACCATGACTGCAAAATCAGCAACATCTGTGACACCTTCTTTCTTGTTTGTTGCTTCTTTGATTTCTTGTGCAACTTTGAGTTGAATTTGTGGGTGTTTGCAAAGCATGTAAATGAACCAAGACATGGTAGCAGATGTTGTGTCTTTTCCAGCAATTATGAAGTTCAGGATTATGTCTCGTAAATACTTCGGATCCGTGTCGTTGATTTGCAGAAACCTCGATAGAATGTCTTCTTTCTTCAACTGCAATTTTCGTTATCGAAGGTTCAAAGGGAGGATCAAACGAGAACAGGATCAAAATGAGAATACATGAGAATGATCAAATTTACATGTGATATTATACTTAAATCACATGTGAATTTGTATTGGTAATCACATGTGATTATGGAAGACTCGGGCTGCGACCCCAAGGATGTGCAGAAGACTTGGCCCGCAACCAAAGTGCAGCTGTTTGAAATGTGTGCAATCGGGTACAGTGGGACCGACTTTAGATAAAATACGAGGGTGCGAGAAAAACTACGTCCGTCAAAATGGTAAAAACACAGGAAATACTACGAGTTAAACCGTAGATTTTTTGATTTCGGGAAGAGAGTATCAACTTACCGCAAGATCGTCGGGTGTCTTGTGCATTTGTTCGGTTTTGGTCCGAATGAGCTTATATACGAACTCATCGATAACTTTAATACTTTCTTTTAACCTCGCTTCCGATCCAATATTCAAAAACTTCTTGATCTTCCACGTTACATCGACGTATCTTTTGAGTGTCATTGCACTTGCATCATCGAAAGCGTTGCTAAATCTAACACCTTCTTCGTTTGAACCACACATGCTATCGAGATCAATCCCGAAAGCAACTTTAAATATCGAATCCAACGTCGCTTTCGTGAACAAGTCCTGTGATATAACCCAAACGCCAATAATCAAAACCCAGTTAATCAAACAAACCCAGTATATCCCAGTCGAAAATAGGATTTTGAGACGTACATAGTTTGACCTCTACCCCAAAAAGTAAAGCGGTTTTTTATAAGAGTGTGAGCAAACAGGGAGCATGAATTATTAAAACACAGTTACCGTGGGGTAAACAAAAAGTTAGTGACGGAAAGGCATTTACGTTTATGTTGAGAATTTGTCCGTTATCTGCTGCTTTGGACAACATACGTGCAAGTTTTACGGCATTTTTTCTGAAGATTACGCTGCTAAAATCTCTCAAGACTTTCGTAGAGAACTCGTAACTCGAGACCTTCCTCTGTTGTCGCCACTTATCGCCATCGACCGTGAATATCCCGTCACCTAGAAGATCCTTAAGAATGTTGTGCGTGTACATTCCCTGCAAAATTAGTTGTAATTTATATGATACTGCCTCTGAAAACCGTCTAACGATCCGTTAAATGTAAAATATTTGCAAATTTGATCATAAAGTATTGTGATTTTTATGTGATGAAAGGACCAGATTTATCTATCTTGTTGGAATAGGAGGGCCATATATAGCAATATCCCAAACAATTATATTTCGTTTTGTACTATATATCATGAGAGTCTCTTTAATTATTCTGTACTAAATCATTCAGCAACTGACAAACAACCCCTTTAGGCTCCTTTTTAAAGGTCACCGGTTCAAACTCTTCCAAGACTACATGGATTTTTTTTTTGGTTATTGTATTCATGGGATTAGTCCACATGTGTGCAAGCTACCTGGACTTCCACGGTTAACAAAAGAATGATATCTCGTTGGTTTAATATTTGACATTTAAGTTATAAACCGCTTGATATTAATGTTATGTGTAGAGATAGAAATTTACCCGTAAAAGCGGGTATTGGACCATAACGGAGTGGAGACGGGGATTTATTTTCATACCCAAAGCGAGGTCGGGGATGGCATACCCGCCTTTAATCCAACCCGATCAATTTTTTAATATATGTATATATGTGTGTGTGCATGTGTGTGTGTGTGTGTATATATATATATAGGGGAGCGATCAAATGAAAACCACTCAATTTGTAAAAACCGTAAAAACCTCATTCCATCAATCATAATTTTTTATTTTGTTCATTTTTTTGTAATTATAAGAGGTTGATTAATCATTTTTATTGTGGAGGATGTTAATCATGAATATTATCATCTTCATTATTTTAATTTTAGAGAAATACATGAAACAGTTTCATTAAAATTTTATAACCATATATGAAAGAACTTCATCAAAAAAAGTATTATATGAAACAATTTCACAAGATTAAACAATTTCATGAAAAAATTTCATAAAATTACGACGGATGAGAGTAGTTTTTACGGTTTTTACAAATTGGAGTGGTTTTCATTTGATCGTTCATATATACATATATATATATATATATATATATATACACTAGAAGGGTACTCGCACAAAACAGCGAAATACATCTTGATTTTAATGTTTCGTTTTATATTTTGGGTCTATCAATGTTATAATGTGATTTTATGTGGTTTTACGAAAATAAAATGTTTTTATTTTTGAATGAAATATAAATTTGAAAATATCATAAAATTTTGATAAAAATAAGCGATATTAGTATCAAATTAACTATTTAAAAGTTTTTTTTTGTGTAATTTCATTACTTAAAATTTTTATTATGATTTAATTGAATTTTAAGAACGAACTAATTTATTTTTAGTTTAATAATATAATTTATCTAAGATAATAATAATTAAGTATTCTGTTAAAACTCAATGATTATCATAATTATATTTTAGATATTTTATAATTACAAATGAGATGTTTATCCTCTAAGATTATGTTTATCTGCAGTTAGTTACACGAATTCAAACATGAAGCTTTAATAAGTTGTACTTACGCATACTTTACTTGTAATCTTGAATTTTAAGTAATATGCATCAATAAACAGTAATTCATGCATAAAAAATAGTTTTTAAGAGTTTTTATTAAATGCTTTATAATATAGTATAGATAGTATGTGTGTTTGTGTTTAAATAAATAAATATGTATACATTTATTATTAATTGATAAATTATATTTGATTTTCATTATGGGTAATTAATATAGTGACAATTTATTAGAATTTTAATTAAGACAAGGTAGCGTACGGGGGCTTAAATAGGGTCGGGGATACATTACCTAAAACGCCACTGTTTCCATCCCTACTTACGCGTCATGTGAAAGAGTATTTAATAGTACCTTACGGGTCTCTCGTCGCTTTATAGTGTAGTATTGTCTTGGATCATTTTGATGAAAGTACGATGTATTTAATGAAGTTAGATGGGAACAAGATACGTGATTAGATCGACCAAGCGTACGTTCTCAGTTGAAGATAAAATAATGTCTTCGATGTAATTAAGTGAACATATTATAACTTTGTAAATAAAAATAATATAGATAAAAGGATTAGTTTCACGTGAGATCAGTTTGTTTTCATAAGACCCGTGAAACCACTCTTTTATGAAACTTTACGGCGAAATACTGTGAATATAAAAAAATTTTCAAACCTTCACAACGGAAACGCTATGAAGGTTACCTTCACAGTGTTTTGCTACGAAAAAAATGGTTTCACATGTCTTATGAAAACAGGTTGGTCTCACGTGAAATCAATTATATATATATATATATACACACACACACACACATATACATATATATACATATAGATACATAAGGTTGGGTTCACGTGAGACCAATAGTTTTTTGTGAGACTCGTAAGACCAATTTATGTTCATTGATCAAAATTTTAAGTTAATGATCTAATGGTCTAAATTGCACGGTGACAATTTTGTGATTATTGAGAAGTCTCGTGGCGTTTATAAATGTTCAGATTGTCAGATTATAAATCTAATCCAAAGATTGAGAATTGATCTTACGGGTCTCACGAAAAACCATTGGTCTCACATGATCTCAAGTCTAGATACATACACATATACATATACGTATACATATATATACACATATACGAATACATATATCTATACTATCTTATTAAGCAAATTTATCAAAAGTCTTAAAGTCTTAAAATTTTAAATGACCAAGATACCCTTTTCACTTTTTTACTTTTTCACCTCTTCTTCTCCTCACATACACTCACCCCCTCACATTGTTTTTTTAAAAATTATAATTTTAAATTTACATTTTATATCCCTATAATTAGTTAATTAATTACTTTACGTCCTTTACTTTTAAATTTTTCATTTTAAATTTTTATCAAATTAACATACATAATCGTATACCAAATAAAACATGTTTAAAAATACATTTTTATTTTAACAAGTTACACCATTATAATCGTCTCGTTAA